ACCCTTCTTTTAGTAAAGATATCACCTCTCAATTTTCAGACAGCTTACCTGATTACTGTACAGGTGTAGACTGTACAACCCTTCTTTTAGTAAAGATATCACCTCTCAATGGTCAGACAGCTTACCTGATTACTGTACCTATTGAGAGGTGATATCTTTACCAACAGAAGCGCTGTATCAGTCTATACCTGTACAGTAATCAGGTAAGCTGTCTGATTATTGAGAGGTGATATCTTTACTAACAGAAGGGCTGTACCAGTCTACACCTGCACAGTAATCAGGTAAGATGTTTGATTATTGAGAGGTGATATCATTACTAACAGAAGGGCTGTACCAGTCTACACCTGTACAGTAATCAGGTAAGTTGTCTGACTATTGAGAGGTGATATCTTTACCAACAGAAGGGCTGTACCAGTCTACACCTGTACAGTAATCAGGTAAGATGTTTGATTATTGAGAGGTGATATCTTTACTAAAAGAAGGGCTGTACCAGTCTACATCTGTACAGTAATCAGATAAGCTGTCCGATTATTGAGAAATTAATGTTCAGTTAAAGGTATAACTATCAAACTGTACGTGCAGCACAATATTTTTAAACCTGCTATAAAATTCTTTAGTAATTAACGGTTAGAATGAAAAACACATGTTAAAATTAGCAACACATATATCTACTTCCTAGCTAATGTTTTCATTTTCTTCAACTAGAAACGAGACAGACTAATGAGAAATTCCTTCATATATCTTCTCTATGAAGGTCATATTTATACACACGTTTTATGTGATAGTTTAATAAATATTTTACTTTAGTGCCTTAGTAGCATGAGATGAAATAGATTGTAATTCAATTATAAAGTTAAAAGATTAAAACCTTCAAAAATCAACCATATTAGGCATATTGTGTATTTACTACCGTTTTTAGTAATGTAGAAATTTTGAAAATTTATATTTACTTAGTTTCTGCGCAGTCGTAGCTGCATCAAGTGGTGCAAGAAGTCATTAACATTACTTTCTTCTGGTTGCTTCGTTTTTATTATCTTTAGTATTGTTGTCTTTTCTGCCTGAAAAGATATTTCAGTATTGTAAGAAACATCCGGGTTAATCGGACTGACACCATAATACTCTTTGCTGGCCAGTTATAATGTTTACTAAAAGGGAAGAAAGATCATAAGGTGACGTCATCTACTGGACAAAGAATGCGAGTTTACATGCTAAATTCAAGTGTCCTTTTCTAGTTCAATTTTCTACTGGATGATCTGAGAAGAGGACCTGCTTTTTGGAGATAAGTTTGCTTAGTTCAATCTTGAGAGAAAGAAGGCTGTGGAAAAAAAAATTGGCCAATTTCTAATTGTCCAACTTTTTTTTCATACTTAAAAAGGAACTCAGTCCAATTATCTCATGCAGAAACTCTCCTTGATTCTTGGAGAAATCTGCTGCTATGTGCAGGTCTATCTCATATTTTTAGGAAATCAAAATACTTGGGAATATTTAAACAATGTATCCTTTTTGTGAATATTAGAAATATGTAAAACTTCGAAACTTTCCAATGTAAAACCGTAGAAAAATTTAAGAGCCACTCCTATTGTTTAAGCAGAAAATTGAAAATAAATATAAATCTGAAGTCAAAAACTCCTTTTTTAATATTTTGTCTTTGGAAAGTCTGAAAGATGTACCAGGGTAAGTTTCTTTGGATCACAGCTGTAACTAGGGGTGTTAGATTCCGTCTAATGTATTAAACGTTTAAACTTGAAAAACGTTTTTAAAAGTTTAAACTCTATTATATTCATTTAGTAAAACACTGAGAAAATGTTAATACTTTATTCGTTTCGTTTTTCCTGGCAGTTATTTTGATTTAAAAATAATTAGCTCCTAAGAAATAATTA